TTATTTTTAGCTGTAGTCACTGATGAACAGTAACATAACATAAAACACGTTTGTAATCATATATGAAAGAATAGCAACCTATTGTTCATGCATGTGCATGGATTCTTACTTGCGGTACAAGCTACCTATTCATATCTACCAAAATACAATGTGTTAGTCATTCTAATAAATTTTTGTTTGAGGTACATAAATGTCTACATATTAAAACGTAAATAGCCATAATATTACTACACAGTATTTAGTGGTTCGCGACAAGTTTTACGATTGTGTCCCGATGTACCACATCGACTGCACTTGCACGGTGGACGGACCTCGCCTGTGGAAAGAATCCTCACCGTCTGTCGCCGTCCAACCCTAACGACCTTCTTCGGTGGTTGAACATCAATATTCACAAACCCCGGAGAACTCTTCCATGTTGAGGATGAACCCACTGGAAATATTGGTTCTGCATATGCCAACATCCAGCTATTGACCGTGTACGCCTCATCGCATAGTGTGTACGGATTTATGCTACGAGAACTGGCTGCAGCAATAGCATGGGAGCACGAGACTTTAAAATAATCGAACTCTCGACAAGTACACGTCTGCGATTGGAAGTCAACGTCCCCATTGAGGTTCCCGTCGCGTACCTCAAAATTAAACTGGTCGATGTTCATAACAATGTGTCTCCGTGCATTATCCGAACCATCGGCAATCATTTCCTTTGTGTAGTCAGACAACGTACTCTGACGTGAAGAAGCAAGCGTCCGACGTTCGTAGAACCACCTCTACAACACACCTCTGATATGATCAAGTAATGCGATGACTGGCAACTTATGTGCATGCCTGAAAAGGGCATTAACGGACTCTGCAATAGTGGTGGTCATTTGTGAATATCTTAGTTTCGTCTGAAAGCAGCGAGCCCATCGTTCCTTTCCTATAGCTTCTAGATATTCCCTCACTCCTGGGTGTGCGCACAGTTGGACCCAGTTCTCATTGAAATATGACTCGTGAAATGCCTTCGCAGCCTTAAAAAATAATGCCTCCAACGCGGGCGTTTTAAATTTGGCCAGCAAGTTCATCTTTAGATGATGTATACAAAAGCAATGAAATGCAGTAGGAAATACCTCATCAATCGCTTTACAAATGGCGGCATGTCGATCAGAAATGAAGACCAAATTCTGAACGGTGTGGACAACACTCTTCAATTGAGTCATAAACCATGCCCATGATGCGACGCTCTCACTCCCGACTATTGCAAAAGCAACTGAGTATATTTGGTTATTCGCATCAACAGCAGAAGCAGTTAGTAATACACCTCCGTACTTCCCTTTAAGGTGTGCCCCGTCAATAACCAAAACTGGTCGAATGCAACACATAAAACCTCTAATTGATTGACCCATGGCCATGAAGACATATTTGAAGTACTTGCTATCATCCAACTCCAATTCAAATATAGTACCTGGATTCATGATTTTCACGGCTTCCCCATAAGCGGGTAGTAGCCCGTACGATGAAGCTGGATCCCCTCTGATAAGTCGGAGTGCTTCTTCGCTCGAACGCCAGGCCTTGTCGTAACTCATATTTACACCATACTCCTCACGAATATCTTGCATGATGTCCTTCGGCCTGTACGTGCGAGAAACATCAGTAAACTTTGATTGTACTAGATGACCGACCACCCAACTCTTCGCCTGCAAAGATCCTGTTTCATAACGGCACCATTGCACTTAGAGTGGACTGCGATATATTTCTTTATCTTAAACAGGTTGCAATCTTTAATCTTAGTGGCTCTAAGTCACCACGTGCAAGTAGGATCGATGCATCGCAGCAAGTATAGTTCCAGCGTATACTTCTTCACTTAAAACTGAAAGTTCTTCCGCAATGCAAGTAAATGCATTTTCATAACTAGTTCCTTCTTCGAGTCGAATACGTCACCCTCCTTAACATCATCGGTCCCAGCCGATTGGACCATGGCTTGCAATCTATCA